AACATAACAGTGCTTACCAGTCTCCTCCACAGCAGTGCTAGGAGACTGGGTTCTTCCACAGCTGAAAGGCTGATGGGTATGGAGGTGGAGCATAGGTCCGTCTCCAGAGGTTCTTCAAGCATCTCCGGTCCCGACTTCCAGGTACCTCTTTCCCCAGAGCCGCTGTTGGTCCTGGAGTCCTCCACTTCTTTGCTTCATTAGCAACATCATAAACACTTGTGTTCCGTGTCAAAATCCTTAGCTCCTTGCTATCCGGAGAGGTGCCTCAAACACTGTTGGAGACGTTTTGTCCTCTGCCCCCTCGAAAGCCTTTGCATACTCTCAGTTTCAAAACAATGTGCATGGCATCCAGTTATGACCCCATGTAGGCATCTTTTGACAGCCTCAAAAATACCCATGTTGCAAGATTAAGACTCCAGGATTTCCTGAAACTTCACCTCATCCTACAGGGTGAGAAAATCCAAAATCTCTGAACACATGCTAAGGAAACGCACAAGGCTAGCATAAAACGTTAGTGTGCAACTCCAGAAGCAGGCAAGTGCAAATGTACAAAAGCACAAAGTATCAAACCTGGCTGCACACCATTCATTTAAAGGCGGAAAAAACAAGTCACTTCCAATCAGTACAACCAGTGTGCATTAGAGGATACAGAAGTGAGAGAGAAAAAACTAGTTTGGGTGGGGTGCAAAGTAATACAGGCAGACAGCCAAAAAACCATCAACACCACGCACACAGGAATGATCCAGGCACCTGAATATACAGCAGCTTGCTACAAGGTGAAAATGCTGCTGCTTGGAATGGGAGGACAGACTATGCTGTACCTCTCTAGTTACTTCTCCATAAGAAATTACATCATGTGGACACAGTACATACCAACTCAGGCTAATATCAGGTAGCTACACCCTGTGCAAACAAGTCCTTAATCTTGCAATATTCCAAGCAATTTAGAAACATGCCAAGTAACTGTGTAGAGCTTTGCTACAGCCCTTGGTATCATTTTTATTCTAGGGAGAAGACAGACAATGCAATTCACCCACTGCACTAGCCCCTCTTGCTTTCTCCGGTGATACTTTAGACATGTGGTTATAAATGCCTTTTACTGTCTGATCAGCCAGAATTTGGAACCAAGTATTCTATGAACTAGTGATATTTCCAAATCAGTGCCTATGGTGGAGTCTGAAGTCTTGCATATTACCAGTCTATCAGCAGGTCTTGTACCATAGTTTACATGGGTGCCATTTCAAGTGCATCCGCAAGAAGTCAAAACTTGATTGTGTTTTATAGCCTGGATGCTAGCAAATGCTATTCTTCTGCAGCTAAGCACTGCAGTTTCAGTGCTTGGCTTCCGAGTTATTCTGCATTCCTGTATTTGCTAAACAATTCTAATAATTGTCATTAAGATATTCTTAAATTGAAGGAGTGGAATCAATAAAATGATCACAGCCAGTTTTTACCATGTCTACCTTCTATGAGGGCTTTAAACAGTCATAACACACACTGATTTTAGCCAGTGAGAAGCAAAACCCAAGACATTTTTCATTACAGTAAAACCTTCAAGGAAAATTAACACTGGACAATTAAACAGTTATTATCTGTTTTATTTACTATTTTTCAGTTAAAATGACACCTCAGGAAATGTTAAAAAGGTGCTACCAAAGTCCCTAGTGGGTTATTTTGGGTTCTCATTTCTCCATGTGGTGCTATACTAAAAAAAAAAAAAAAAAAAAATTCTTTAATGTGCTCCTTCAAGCAAGAAATATGCACTATCACATACAGTAGCACAAGAATGATGTTGTAGCCGCGACGGTCCAGAAGTCCTTGCCTCTCGCATTCTAATAAAGGCAGAATAATGCAACTATGCTAAGCAGTCTAACCACAATTTACTAGATGGCAACATTTCAACATTAGGAGGCCTGACCTGCGACTTGCGCCATTTTCTGTTTAAAGCAATAAACAGGATACAAAAAGCTACTATGGTTTGGTAAATTTGCTTCTATAGTCAATTGTGTAAAAACAAATGCTATGAAGAATAGGATTGTTTTCCTTTAACAAAATACTGTAAGGTTCGAGCATTTAATCTGAAATTCTAATTTCAGAGTTAAGATCAAGTAGCTCTAAAGGAACTTATTTGCTTATTTAATGCAAGCTGCTATTTCTTCTAAAGACCACACACACTAAGTCAATTTTAGAAACTTTCATAGTCACCACCATTTATAGTCAGGAAGGAGCTGGTAAAACAGCAGGATTTTTTTTTTAAATCAAAATTTCAAACAAAGTCATCCAAAAAACAAAAACAATTTTGAAAAAACCTAATCCATTCTATTCACAAACCAATAAGAAAGCTATCTGGTATGTGACAATGAAATACATCTACTTCAGCATAATTTTCAGCTTCTTTAACCAGGCACAATTGTTTATTATTGTGCAATTACATGTTAACTACAGGTTTTCATTGACATTTATCAAATGTGAACTGTTAAAATCAAAGTGTGGTATGATAATTCTTTCATTTTCTGCTGATACTCGATTTTTCAGAAAAGTGCATGGACTTCTAGGGCTATGGATTTGATGGCGTGTGTGTGTGTGTGTGTGTGTGTGTGTGTGTGTGCGCGCGCGCGCGCGCGCGTGTGTGCGCGTGCGTGTGCACACCTCTACTTTCTAGGCTCTCAAAAGTGAATCCCCAGCAAATATCACTTTTCACATTGACTGCAAGATGCAAACGGCTCATGTATTGCTGCAGTGGGAAATGAAACAGTTTACCATAAACAGATCAATGTGTGGCCCTTCTACTTAAAGGAAGAATTTGCAGTCCTCCCCAATTTATTTCTACTACATGATATAAGGTACATCTATTTTTATTTGGACTCAGGATAGTTTTCATTTAAAACTTGGGCAGTTTCTAAAAACAACAACCTAAACAGCTCCCATTTAATGAAGTTAACTATCAGTTCCACTTGTAAAACTGTCATCACAAATACTGCTATTAAATAATATTACAGCAAAATATGATTAAATGTGTGACATGAGACAGGCAGAAGGAAGCTCAAGGAAAAGCAATAAGGCAGTTGCAGTGATATTTCATCAATTCTATTATGAGAGCAGTAACTAAAATTAAATGTTCAACTAGAAGTACACAACTGCCAACCACATCCAAGAAGCACTACATCTGTTACCATACAGTCTGTTAAATGTAACCATATTAATATCATACGCCTCATTTCTTACTGTTAAAAAACTGCTTGCTTAACCTAACCTTGCTAAATTGTCACAAAAGCATACCAATGCTGGCACAAAAACTATCTGCTCCACTTTTCCCACAATAAATAGAAACTGCCATATGCAAAAGGATAAATAAGATTCCCCTCGCAAGATGGCTAGCACTACCCATGACTAACTTTAACCATAACGTTAAAAAAAAGGCATTTTTGAGCTTAAAAAAACTCCACATGTACAGGATAATTTAAATCCCCTTAAATCATAGCTGGTTGGGTCGGAAGGGACCTGAGCAGATCATCAAGTACAACCCCCTGCCGTGGCAGGAGAAAGAACTGGGGGAAAATAACCCCAGCAAGGTGTTCATCTAACCTCCTCTTAAAGACCCCCAGGGGAGGAGCGAGCACCACTTCGCTTGGAAGTTGGTTCCAGATCCTAGCCACCCTGACAGTGAAGTAGCGCCTCCTGATGTCTAGCCTGAATCTACCCTCTGCCAGCTTGTGGCCGTTATTTCTAGGCGTATGGTCAAAAAGGAGAAGTACAGGTAGCACCTGTGCCGCACAATAATATTTACCAGACACGCTATCCAGGAAGTGAGGCTAATTCCTTGTAACTTTAAAGTTTTGGATGAATTTTTGATTAGCCAATATAGACCATGGAATCACAGAAGAGCAGGGCTGGCAGGGACCTCAGGAGGTCATCTAGCCCAAGCCCCTGCTCACAGAAGGACCATCCCTATCCAAGCCATCCCATAGAAGCGCTTGTGCCTTTGGTATAGTTTTAGGAACATTCCCCAAAAACATCAAGAACGTCCTAACTTGCCACAGGTCAAAGAGAAGAAGCAGAGCTGTCAGTGCCCCACTGCTGCAGGAGATGTTCAAACAGACCAGATGAAGAGAGCTTTCCTCTTTTGTTTTTCTTTCCATTACGGGAAAAGCGAGGGGCAGGACATACTGATCCCTGCGATAATGCTGGTGTACTGCCATCATCATTGTGGGAGGTCATGGAAGAAAGCGGAAGTGAAGCAAACTAATCTACAACAACAATCCAGCTGTTTCCCCGCTGGCGCAGCATCCTCATCACCCTTGCTTTTAGCTTGTGCCATTTTATAGGGCATTTTTGTTATCTCAGACTTTTGTTCTCTCTTAGTTGAGGGGGGTGGGAGGGCTGAAGAGAGGATTGGGGGGGGGTCCCTTGGGTAGGAGGGCCTGTGAACACCACGGACAGGACTCCCAGCCCTACCTACCCAGGGCAGCTTCCAAGGTTTTCACTGCCACATTAACAATAACCTCTATCTGGTGTAGCCGTGGCACCCGCGTGCTGCCAGCGTACAGCGCGGGAGTCACTTTACCGCAACTTCCGAGACAGCGACACGGGTTCTCCGAGTCCTGACTTTGCCGGTCCTTATTCATAACGCCACCTCGACCGTTTCCCCCGCGATGCCCTTAAATAAGGTGCAACCCCGAAGCAAGGACATCCTGACAGGCAGGTACGCAGAGCTGGTCACATGGCGGGACCGAACGCATCACCGCGACGCCCCGTGGGGCATCCACCCCTTGAACGCTGTGCCCAGCTCTGCTCTCCGCACCCGGAGAAGGACACAGAAGACCTGGGGACGGTCCAGAGAAGGGCAACGAGCACGATTCGAGGGGGAAAAGCGCTTCTCTATGAGGAGAGGCTGATGAGGCTATGAAAGGAAGATGCTTGCAGGGGGAGGGAGACATGATACGGTCCCGTCCCCCCACAACTCGGGCGGCATGCAGGGAGACCCCCCCCGCCGCCCTTACCTTGCCGTCCTCGCACTTGCGGAGCTGCCCGTCCTTGCCCTGCAGCTGCCCGCCCAGGCGCCCGCACTCCGCCTCCTTCTGCTCCAGCTGCTGCTTGTGCGACTCCAGCGCGCCCAGCAGCTCGGCGTTGCGCTGCTCCAGCCGCCCGCGGGCCGCCTCGCCGCGCTGCGCCTGGCCCTGCAGCGCCGCCACCTCCTCCAGCAGCGCCGCCTGGCGGGCCGCCTCTCGCGAGAGCTGCTGGGTGTTCTCGCGAGATCGTGGCCCTCAGTCACCGTTGGGAGAGCGGTTGGTTTCTACCTCACTCCCGGCCACTTCCGCGTTCCGGCCTCTCGCGAGATCGCGGCCCTCAGTCACGGTTGGCTTCCATCTCGCGCCCGCTCACTTCCGCGCTACGGCTTCTCGCGAGAGCTGCTGGCGGTTCTCGCGACATCGCGGCCCTCAGTCACGGTTGGCTTCCATCTCGCGCCCGCTCACTTCCGCGCTACGGCTTCTCGCGAGAGCTGCTGGCGGTTCTCGCGACATCGCGGCCCTCAGTCACTGTTGGGAGAGCGGTTGGTTTCCACTTCACTCTTCCGCATACCGGCCTCCCGCGAGAGCCGCAGGATGTTCTCGCGAGATCTCGCCCCAGTCACCGTAGGCTTTCACCTCACTCCAAGCCACTTCCGTATTCCGACGGAGCTGCTCAGCCTTCTCGCGAGATCTCGGTTCTTAAGTCACTATTGTGGGGAGCGGTCGGTCCCACCTCACTCCCGGGCCCTTCCGCGTGTCGCCCTCTCGCGAGAGCTGCCGGGCGTTTCCGCGAGATCTCCCTTTTGCCGCCGGCTGCCATTTTGGCGGGAAGGCTGAGGGGAGGCAAGGGCGGGATTCCTGTTGTAACGGTTCTCTCAGCCTGGCGGGGAGCGGCAGCCCAGGCCGGGCGGGATGGCTTGGGTGTGCAGGGCAGGGTAGAGGTGTGGGGGAAAGCAGCGAGCTGGACCCCCTCCTTCATCAGTGTGGGCTGTGGCAGGTTTTGGGCCTAGCTGCTCCCAAGAAGCTGATACAGCCCGTGGCAATGGGCGAGCAGCCGCCTGCACCTTGCCTCCGGGCCTTGACGCTGATCTAGGAGAAGGGGGAGCTCCTCGCCCCCAACCTGCCCTTCAGAGAGGGGTCGTTGGGCCCAGGGGGCGGCAGCGACTCTCAGCTTCGATCTGGGCACAGTAGGGCACACAGTGGGGTATGAAATTAGCCCTTCCTGCTATGGACACAAAGCCCCAGTGGACCTTGGCGCAACATCGCCAGGGGCAAAAGAGCCAACGGGCATATTATCGTGCAGGAGAACGCCAGGCCCTGGCCCGCCGACAAAAGCATATGGGAAAACCTTCGTGCCAAACGCAGAGCGCCAAAACACACCGACTCGGAAATCGGGTTTGAATAACCCACATAACTCTTATTTATTATACGAAACCACTGCACAGCGAAATCTTTCTCACTGTTTCTTCAAGAAAGAGACTTTTTTTGTGGTCTGCTTCACCATCTTATATCGGTTGTGGGCAAATTCCTCGATTTGCCCCATGGCTTTCGTGACTCGCTCGTCCGCGGCAGCCGCGGTGTCTTTCGGTGCGCGACCGAGACCTGCGAGCGCCGCCTGCGCCTCCTCCCGCGGCACGCGTGCTTGCTCGGATCCCAAACTGCTTCCATGCCTTGAAAGTAAACCAGACAAGTTTTCATGGGTTTATGGTTCAAAGGACCGGAAAATGGCTCTGAGTTTCAAAATAGAATGATCCGTATCATAAGGCATACAAAAACCTATCCTTTCCCGTTGACAGTAGAGTCAAAATATTCAACGTTTCAAGCGATCTGATATCAAACTAACGAGGTTTTCCTGTAAGCCTGCCTCCATCGTGGAGGCCACTGAATACAGCAAGAGATTTCGGGGATAATTGAGAGATTCCCTGAGAGGAGTGTGGGTCACATGAACGCACAGGAAATTAGACTGCATGAGAAACAGGGTGGACAATAATAGTGAAAATCAGGATGACTTTGAGGGTCTAAGGTTATATAAAAATTAGATGAATTTCCATGGATTTACAAGTGAACCCAAGCAGAACCTGGTGGTGCAATAGTTGCAAAGCAGGGAAAAATCATGTTTTAGGGCATGAGTCAGATCCACGTTACAAATTTAAAACTATATAAATAAACCCTCATGGAAGAAATTTAGGAGCTAAAAATAAAACATGTCGGTAGTGTTTTAAGTTACCATGAAGAAAAAAAACGATAAAATCAGCTGATAACGTGGATACACGGACACGATTTAGCTAGCTTGATGGCCATTTTTGTAACGTCGTAACAGGAGAGGTGTAACATGGACGAGCACCCTAACGTAGCCTCCTGGAATACTCTCCGGAGTACTGGTGGCTCCATATCAAAAATAAACTTGGCAAAAGGAGGAGGAGGATGAGCAGAATTAGAGACCCGGAGAAACGCAACGCAGATTGCAAAGGTTGGGATCATTTGCCTTAGAAAGGAGATGAATAAGGTAACATGAAGAATGTAATAAACTAAGTGCTGTAGAGAAGTTTGCTTGGGATTTCAGTTCTCCCTGCCCTCTAACACAAGATAAGGGATGTTCAGTTGAATTCAAGAGTGGCAATGTTGATTCTCCCACCCCCAGAGCAATTAATTGGTGAAACTCATTGCTGTAGGGTATCACTGAAGCAAAGAATTTAAGATTGAGAAAAAAGACCGGTATTTGTAAGGATAACAAGAACATGCAGGTTTATGACAGTTAGTGCTAACAAACCTGCTTCAGGGTTTGAACCTTGATATTTACAGGGTCACTGGTTAATAGTACTTTTATAAAGTATATTACAAGCAACAGAGTACTGCATTTGAAATGTATTTAGAAGGCATTATTTACAAGTTTTTAAATTAGCCGTTCTTTTTTGTTTTTTAGGCTCTGTACAGTCATAAGTACAAGGCAGGTTTCTAATTCCAGTCCCACAATGTATGTTCACATCTCATAAAAATCACTTAATAGAATTGCAAGAGCTGATTTCTCTAGCAGGATACTATGAAAGATTAGGTTCTTGTTAAAATGTGAGCTTTCCTTCCTTATGAAATAAGGAATGAGGTTCTACATGTCTACTACACGTAGAACTTAGCATGCACATACTCAAAATGCTTTACAAATAATGCACAACGTACCTACGAAATCTGCTTCCTAGATGGGAAGGTAAAAGTGATTTGCTGCAGGGCACAATTCATGGCTAGGATTAGCATTCCAGAGTTAGCTGGGCTCAGACCATTGGACCAAATTATTTCCCAAGTACAAGAATTGAGAGGAACAAAGAGGCATTCTGGTTTTTGTTGTACCAGTGATTCTGGTTTGGTTACACAGATAAAGTCATTGTTTACATATATTTATTCGATATCCACAAACTGTTTTCTAACATTATAAAAACTAAAAGTGTACATCCCATAATCAGATGGAGTGTCATTCAGAGGAAATTCTATGGAAATGGCTTGCAGTGTGGATGCAAAGCCATGTAAGCATCTCCAAGCTGCTGACGTTGCATAAATGGCATGGGAGAGGGATTGAGAACTACAGGGGAAAGCAAAGGAATAGTTCAATAGGGCAAAAGGAAACAATGCACCCCACTCATGAGTTCCAGCTTCCATCTAGTGGGTAGGATCCACCACTCAGTACCAATATCGGTAGCATATATATCCTTTCTGTTCCTCTGCATCAGATTTTGTGCAATGTTGTCTGATTATTTGAATCTTATTTGCTTTAATTGCTCCACTGGTGGCCAATTAATCTCAGTTTTCCAATCTACATTCTACAGATGGTGTTGTACACTCCCAGTCTAAACTCACTGTTACAAATTTCAGTTCATTAAAGAGAGCTAGACAATGACGGATTTCTAAACCTGTTGCACTAGGTTTCTTTAGATTCAGTTCCTTTCTGGTTCTGTTTACTTGGTCTCTGTAAACTTGAATGGCGTGTTGAGAAGTGTGTTTGTTTAAGCAATATGCTGTATGTTTAGAATGATAAGTATCAGCTCAGTACTTATCTCTGCTTTCTCACTCATATCCTTCCTGAACAGTAATCTTTTATGTAATGGTTTGCTCTGTATAGTCTGCTGGATGCTGACTTCAGGTTCATCCCTTGTTTTCCTCTTTAACATGGTATTGCTTTTACACATCTATTCACAACTCTGATTGCCATGTGGTGAGGCAGGGATATATGTTGTAGCCATATTGGTCTAAGAAATAAAGATAAACAAACTCTTGGGTCAGAGGCGATATGTTTTATTAGACCAGGGGTGGGCAAAATGCGGCCCACCAGGCCATTCTATCCGGCCCACAGGGCCCCTAAACAATTTAGAAAATTAATATTTGTTTGCCCCTGGCTGCCTGTCATGTGGCCCTCGATGGCTTGCCAAAACTCAGTAAGCGACCCTCTGCCCGAAATAATTGCCCACCCCTGTATTAGACCAACTAAATGGTAGCAAAAAAAAATTCTATCTTTTCAAGCTTTCAAGTACACACACCCTTCACGTGCAACATGAAGTTTCTTTTCTACCTAGGAACCTCCTGTACAGCAAAATACTTTGCCATCTAATTTACTGCTAATCTTAGTATCATCATTCATGAAGATCAGAAAAAAAATATAGTTTTTTAGTCAGTAAAAATTCAAGCTGTTTCTAAAATTCTGTGGCAGGGCAAACCTCCTTCTGCCAAATGTACAGTCCCTCTTCATTCATTTATGAGTTGCTCTGTCACAAGATGCATAAAGATTTCTTGGCATCAGTGAAGGGTCTCATCCTGACCTTATGAGTAACTCATTTTTTCTTGCATTCTGGTATGTAAAGCTGCACAACATTGCAGCAAGCTATAACAATTCCTGCTGTGTTTTGTAATAACTTCCCTCCAACTCAACTTTTCTTCTTCTCCTCTGCTCCCCTTCCCCCCACAAATAAAAAGGCTGAACGGATAGTTAGAAGGTAGAATTAACTAACTTTTTTTTCTTGGAATAATTTCTTGAGAAAAAACTTCAGTAGGCTGAAGTTGGATACCAGAGTGAAAAAAACAAGGGCCTAGCTTTCTTTTGAGACAAAAATTGTTCCTTTTTGACTTGCAGCTGCATAACCTGAGCATAAAATTGTATGAAATAAAGGTAATTCACCGATTTTTTTTCATCTGCCTATCAGGAAAAAGTGCAACAGCATTCAACTCAAGAAGAAAAGGCCTGACAACTAGAATACCACTCAGTGTCAGTGACAGGGTTCAGAATTTGAGGGCAGAGCAGCGGAGGAGCAGGGATGTGTCGATAATGGTAGGAGAGTGCTCCAGGCAGCATATGGAGCTGAAGAAATGGTGGGGGCTGGATGACAAGGAGGCTTAGGAGAAGTGAGGGATAGAAGAAAAGGAGTCTGGAGAATCAAAGAG